AAACTATGAAAAAATGTTAAAATATGTATTCACGGCCAAAATACTTTTTAATCTTTGTCAAAATAATAGAAAACATATAAAAACATATTATAAATCAAGTTCATATTTTATAGATTTTTAAATAATTTTTTGTACTTTGTTTTCAAACTTGGGAACTTTACCACCAAAGCTGGGCCTAATGATCCCGCCCATGGACCGGTTCCTATAACCCAACCATTTCTGGTTCGACCAGACCAGTTTGCCTAACACTGGTTTTGAAAGACTAGAATTTCAATCATCAAGCTAAATTTGGCAGTATAAAACGCAGCAACTTTACTTCAAGGTGGTAGCATCCTTACAATTGATTTGTATTTGAATTTGTTTATTTAAGAAGGTGACGTCAAAGAGAAAGTAAATGAACATATAATAAAAAAATAGAATCAAGATGCAACTCAAGAACCATAGGAAAAGGTTGTTCCCGATATTGCAAAACTTATTAATAGATCATCTCGATTTTGATATATATATATATCTTAAGTTTTAAAATAATATATCTAATAACACATTATCTGGACTGTTTAGTTTTAATATTTTAAATATTTATAAATCTATTCGATCTACATTATTTTTAGTGCTTTAAATTTCATAATTCAAGGTGGAAATGTATTTCAAGGCCATCTTAAAACTTTTTGATGCCAAAACTATATTTTTTAATAAGATTTGAAGGTGCACCTTATTTTAATTGTTTAATATGGGTACTTTATACATACATCACCCATTAATAAAAATTGAAAGGGGAACCTAAGTTAGCTGCTAGGGAGCAACATGCTATAACAAACCCTCCATAGTATGCAGCTCCTTAATAAACATATCTTTTCGAAAAGGTGATGGTTTTGGTCTCACATTTCTCCATGAAACTATGGAAAGGAGCTACATTTTTTAAAAGACATTTGCGTATTATAAGATTGTTCATTTTTCTTGTACAAAGAGATCACAATCATCACTACACATCGGATATCATATCCCATAACTTAGAGTATGCCACACAATTCAAGAAAGTCATTTTAGAGTTTGTGATCTGTAGACGACACAACCCTAGCCACATGATTTCACATATAACTTTCGACAACAATTGCAATTTTCTTTTACCAAGAACAAAAAGTCATGCATTTCCTTTCAAAAATATGTGAGTCATTACACACAAAATTTTTCGTCAAATTAATTCCACCCACTTCCATTGTCTACCATCCATCAAATATGGAGAACGTTTAAAAATAAGGGCGGCTCTAATAGGCAACAAGAGAGGAAAAATAGACTTAGATGGGCTGGCCATATGCAGCACAGACCCGATACAAAACTGGTTAGGATGTACAATTTGGCTTAAGTAGAAGACTTTAAAAAGGCAATAGAAAATACCTAAACGGACATAGGTAGAAGTAGTGAGTAAAAAGATAGAGAATTATAGTATTAGTAAGGGTATGACTTTTTATAATATAAAGCATAATATAGCAGCAGAATCCCATCCATTCTCAAATAGTTAAAATAAGACTATGATAATGATGATGACTTATTGAAACCTAAAAGAAAAAAATATGATACAAGTTACGTTCCAAAACAAACAAAAAAAAGGAAAAATACTAAAACATCACTATGCATCATTAGTGACGCCATCGATAAGGGAGGAGATCCTCCATATCATGGGGAACTTCTTGATCCCATAACAATGGGTAACCAAAGTTAAGAACAATAGGTCATATGACGTGATCTCTCGGAAGATGCTAAGAGTGGCAAGGCATCTCTCTACTCTCTCTCTCTATCATAATTCCATAGACGTGTTGCTAGCACTCTCTCTCTATGTGGTTCTTTGCAGTGTTACGAGCACTCTCTCTCACTATTTGGGAGTTTGGGTTTTTCCTCTCTATCAAGCACTCTTTATATTTGGGTGGTTTTTTCTCTCTAAATATTACCATCTCTCTCATTATAGAGGTTTGACCGCGAGGAGTAATGTTTTTAGTCCCTATGGATGGAAGAGGTAATACAAAGATTGGGATGGGATGGTAGGGAGCGAACCTGGCTTAAATGGCTAGCTTGTTTGGCGATTGATTCGCAATGTTAGATCCTTGGCTCAATTCTTACCGGTACCAAGGTACAGGGACTATCTCCTCATTGAGTCAAAAAGAACAAAAATAATAATAATAATAAATAAAATGGGATGGCCAAGACTGTGGAGAAAATAGAGTTAAGGTGGTCAACTAGAAAGGAATATGGACTATGGAGCATCCTCCATAACAAACAACAACTAGAAATTTTTCATTTTATAAGCAAAGCAAAGGAAAATTTTCATTTGAATAAGCAAAAAGAATGCATATAATAATATAAGCTGCACGCCTTTCATCCAACATGCCCACCAAGACTGTTACGTGCCCTAACCTCAACCAAGCAAATAACCATCACAATAACCACAAAATACAAGTGATTCACTTAAGACCACCATTTTCTCTCTCCAATTTCTTTTTAAATTGGGTCACAACGCGGCAAATGTGAATTTCGATAAGTAGTCATTTATCTACCACTGAATTGGAAAATAAACTTATAAATGAATTTTTTTGGCTAGTTTGAGTGTATGTCTTATCGTTATAATTATTAGATTATTTTTTTAAAATTATTTGAAATGAGCTACACAAATTTTAGTCATCGGTATCTCTACTTTACTGGCTCAATACTCTATTTTTTTTTTATGTAAAAATCAACCTCCCTATCTATCTAGGTTAACGTATGTTTCTCTCTCTAAATTTTGAGGTTTCACACCGGCGGGGAAAAAGTTGAGCCGCAGCGTGAGTGACTCGTGAGAAGGGAGAAGTAAATGATGCCTGACAAGTCACGGGACTGTGGCATGTGGCCGTAAGCTGAGCCTAAGATGTGAAGAGAGAATAAACAGAGAAGAGAGAGAAAGAAAGATGTGAGGAGCGAGAAACAGAAAGGCGATGACGAAACTGAACCAAAGATGTGAAGAGAGAAAAACAGAGAAAAGATGAGGAGAGAGAAAGAAAGATGTGAGGAGGGAAAAAGAGAGAGATGAGGGAAGGGAAAAAGAGAGAGGAGATGAGGAGAGAGAAAGAGGTGAAGAGAGAGAAAGACGCGATAGAAAAAAGTACGGATTTTGAGGTGCAGTGTGGACCCTCCGTGTGCGTCACCCACGTACCTCACTGCTGCAATCTTACGCCGCTTAAATGAGCCCCTCGCGCATTTTCTCCCTTCTGAACGACCTTTACTACACAACAAAACAAAAAACACGCACAACCATTAACACATCGCTGAAGCCCACTAGGCGGCTAATCAACGTGCAACCCTAATTAATATGGTCATCAATGCTATAAAAGGAAAGTCATCAAGACGTTAATGACGCAAACGTCGATCAAAGTCGTCGAGGCAGGCTTTCCCTCTAGAAACTCGCTTTACAGTAGCCTCTTTTAAGTTTCTCTCTCTGTGCATTTTTCTCAAGTACTTTGGCAAGGGGAACCGGAACCGGAACGGGGCGATAGTTTGGAGGCGGTTTAACCGGCCTAATCAATAAACTAACCAATTCAACCGTTTTAATCACACAAATCTCTAAAGGTCAAAAGAGTATTGAAAAAATAAAAATATATAGAAAAATATATTCTAAAATATAAAAAGCATGCAAAAGAATATTAAAACAAAGAGAAATGACCCCTCTCACACCTATGTATATAGAATCCTCAAAAGATTACCATTAAAATTAACATAAATATCTAGAAAAGTCAAATTTTATACCTACGTGATAATTTTTTTTGAGATCCGTATCAACTTTAATGGTGATCTTTTGGAATCCTAAACACATGAGTAGAAGAGGGTCATATAAGATGATTACTCTAAAACAAAACACATTTAAATAAAGTTGAAAATTAATGAAGAAATAAATTTTAACGAATCACCCATAACTATTATTGACCAAAACAATTTATAATCTTTAGCGTCATATAAAGATTACTTAAAAAATATATTACAAATCAAATTCTTTATTTTTGAATATATATATATATATATATATATATTATTTTTTATTTATTTATTTTAAAAATTTCAATCAATCACCAAAACCTCTCAAAATCGGAATTGGCCGGTTCTGATCTATTAGCAATTAGATTGCCTTGTTCTTCTAACAATAACTTGAGCCATGGCAAGAGACGAGAAATAAAGTGTCAAAGACGATAGGGAGCCACTATGGTTAAGTATGTTCCTGCTCAACATTACCATCATTTTATTTTATTTTTTAATTCATTGGGCCGCACTCCATGAATTCTAATTCTCTATTATGCTCTATTAAAAATTATAGGAAAAAGTTTATATAGAGCCTAAGATATAAACAATCAAATTAGAGACTATCTCAAAATTTTCACTAAAAGAGGTTGTTTTGATGCCCAAATATCATCAATTTGATCATCTCGACATTAAGATACATGGACATGAGTAAAAATTGGATTTTAAGTTTCGAAAATAGTGCATCTTGTAACGTTTTTTTGGACCGTCAATTTTTAATCTGTTCAAGTTTTCATAGATCTGTTCCGCATACATTATTTTTTAAGCTTTAAATTTTGTAATTAAAGATAAAAATACATTTTAAGGCTATCACAAAAATTTCTAATATAAAAACTATATTTCTTGTACTATCTGAAGGTGGGCTCTAATTGGATTGTCTAGAGCCTCGGTTCTATACAAACCACACCCAAAACTATACCTTCATGCTATAAATTCTCGTATCATATCTTTCGGTAATGAGGGGGACAAAGACTGGGTCAAAGGAAATAATGAAGCCGCGGCATCAGGTTTCAGTGCTACGGCTAGGTGTTAAGGTTACAGCAAGTGAGACAGAGTTTGAGAGAGAGAAAGGAGAGGAGACAGGGGTAGAGAGAGAAACTGGAGGTAGGATCAGAGAGAGAGAAAGACAGGTTTTAAAGAGAGAAACTAAGATAGGTTGGGAGAGAGGGTTTTAGAGAGAGAAATTGAGAGAGCGCGTTTCAGACAGAGAAATTGGGACAGAGAGGGGGTTAGGTTTGAGAGAGAAATTGTATAGAGAGAGAGAGGGTGGGGTCAGGAGAATGGGGATACACAGTATGTTGGTTTTTGTAGCAGAAGCACTATCTTTTCTCGAGTGCTTGATTGACATTGAGTGCAGAAGGAGAGAGAACGCGTATGGGTTATGGAAGGGAAGATAGAGAGAGTTAGAAAGGAAGGGGGGCCCTCGGTTAGTGGTAGAGACTGACAGGTGAGAGAGAAGATGGGTACTCCATACCTGGGGACCGGGGAGCAAAACTTAATGGGTTCCAGGAAACCCAACACCAACCCCTTAGCCCACATCAAAGATCGCCTTCTTCTTCTGTTTATTGAGTGGGTTATGGAAATCTAGAGAGAGAAAGTCCCATAATTCTCTTGAAAAGGAGAACATGACCTTGTCGGTGGTTTTGGGTTGTTCAGCACACAGTGCCTGCAAGCTTTCCAATTCCATGGCCAAAACCCCAAAAAGTGACTGCTTTGGAACCCTTAATTAGAGGCTAAAGTTGAGGCATCATCAAAGAGAAGGCAAGAAAGGATGTTCTTCTGTTTTCTCCTCTGGTTTTTTTCTTTTTTCTTTTGTGGGTAGAGAGAGAGAGGAAACCCCACTCTATGGTCCTGAACCCATGGGCATAATGTTAGAGATCTGAGTTTTCACAGTTAGAACTTAGAAGTAAGCCCTAGCAAAGGACCCCACAAGCTACTGTGCTCTTCTTTTATTGATTGCACACAAGTTTTGGGAATTCTTTTGTTCTGCTAATTTTTAATCTCTGCTTAAGTTTTATCCCCTTCTTGTTCAGCACCACTCTTTCTCCCCTTCTTGTTCAGCACCACTCTTTCTCTCTAAGCTGGTCTGCAGTCCCCTTCAATTTAAATGAACCCCACATGACTCTCTCTCTCTCAGCTGATCTTTACCTTCATTTTCAAATGCCCAACTTGACTCTCTCTCTAAACTGGTTAGAAGTCCAGTGCTTAATATTAATCACCTCTATTTGACATTCTCATTCTAAACTGGTGTGAATTCTTTGTTCAATTAGCCCATTTTCTCTCTCTACCTGTCTGCAGACCCTTATTCAATCGCCTCACTGAACACAATCTTTCTCTCTCTAAGCTCATCTACAAGTCCCCTTCCCTCCTTATTGAATCACTCCTACTTCTCTCTCTCTCCTCTTTAAGTCACTGCATCTCTCCCTCTCTAGGTTAAGAAAGCCATGCAATTAGGGCAAAACCCTGAGGACTGGTGCACTGAAGTCGACAGGTCTTCCTACATTAGGTAGAGTTCCAATATTTAGCATGGCTCAAGTACCTGACCTAAATCAGCCGTTCTAGAGAGAGAGAGATCTAGGGAAAGAGAGCTATCAGAGGAAGACGATAAAAGGTGGTCGAAATAAGAATTGATGGACCTAGGGGGCCCGGACGCAGACATAGAGAGAGGAGCCATGCCCATCTCAGTCGGCTTCGGCCCTATTCACCAGTCCCCCACCAAGCCCGCCAAACCCACCCACTGCGAAGCCAGGCTCGAGCCTGCCCCACCCCATGTCTCACCGAACCCCCGCCTGAAGCGCCGCAACTCTCACTATGGCGAGTGCCTCAAGAACCATGCCGCTGCCATCGGTGGCCATGCCCTTGACGGGTGCTGCGAGTTCATGCCCAGCGGTGAAGAAGGTTCCATTGAATCCCTAAAATGCGCCGCCTGCAATTGCCACCGAAACTTCCATCGAAAAGACTCAGAAGAAAATTCTATACCACAAAGTTGCTTGTACTGTTATCACAGAAGCCCTAAGGCAGTGAAGAGCAACAACCATTTCCTTCCCCTCCCTTCGAGCCCGCAAGGAGTTATACCGGGACCTCCATTTTCAATGGTGGCCTTCGGGCCTAACGATTCATCGAGTGAGGACTTGCACAATCAGGTCATAAGACCCATGTGTGTTGTTTCAAAACAAAGTAACGGTAACAAGGGAAGTGATCACAAGAGATTCAGGACAAAGTTTACGCAGGAGCAGAAGGAGAGAATGTTAGGGTTTGCAGAGAGGGTGGGTTGGAGGATACAGAAGCAGGATGAAGGGGCGGTGCAGAGGTTTTGTGATGAGGTTGGGGTGAAGAGGCATGTCTTGAAGGTTTGGATGCATAACAATAAGAATACTCTGGGGAAGAAGTCCTCTTCATAGAATCATAGAGAGAGAAGCCTGGTGCAAAGCAATATTTTTAGAAAGAGAAAGTGGGTTCTTGATTGTCTCTCAGGCTTGATGAGCAGTGGGGTTCTTCTCTCTATTGCATGCTCTCGTCGTCCCATCCTTCACTTCAAAATCCATGACGCGGCTTCCGAGGAGAAACAGCACAGTGTGGAGCAAGTGGGGGCACCTTTCTGGTTCTCAATTCCCCTTTACTTGCAAGGAGCAGCCTTTCTCTCTTTCTTCTGCAAGTTTACAATGGAACCCGACAAGACCAAGTAACGAGATTCTCTCTCTCTCTCTCCTCCTTTAAATTGTAAATTTTAGTGAGAGAAACCCACTTCCAAAAACTCTGCAAAAGCATGTCTTGAATCTCTCTCTGATCATGTAAGTACATTCTGAGTTCCTAGAGATTAACCCAACTCTCAGATTAGAGTGTATTTTACCTTTGAAATTAGTGTGCGTTACCCTAAAATGTGTAAGATGAGCTTTGTTTCTATATAATTATCATGAGCATGGATCAAAAGGAAATGTACGAGTAAGGTCCTATTTCTATGATCTAAGTTTAAGGCACTTGGAGGGCTGGGCCATTATCTTAAGACCACAGAAAAGTCTCAGTTTTTTTTTGGCCATATGGCCTACACACAAAAGACCATCCTTAATGCTTCGTAGGGTCATTTTAACAATCCCTAAATTTTGGTTTCTGGTAACTACCCTCTCAACTAACCTCAATAATGAAACTAAAAGGACTACAAAAAATTGTGTGCGCCTTGTACTCAATCTTTGTTTGGAAAGTACTCATTAAATAGATGCAAGAATATCTGCCTAGGAACTTCATGGCATATGGCACATTAGAACTGCATTCTTTTTCTTTCCTAATTTATGCCTTCATTTCGCATCCTCGTACCTTCTCGTAACATTAAGACTAATTTTCTTTCTCAAAAACATTTTTCTTATGCCTTCACTTGGCATCCTTATGGCACGACATATCCGTACCCGTCCGATCAAAGAGATAAATCCGTAAGTTTCTATTTTGCTCCATCAAACTAGATTAGTCCTACTAGTTACCTAATCTAGATAGATTAGGCCTCACCATGACTTAAACAAATATATTAGCATTTATGAAGTGGGTGTTTAAATAATACTACTATTGCATTTAGAACTCTACCGAGTATCTTACTAATACTGACTACTCACCTGGATTGGGAAAAACAAGGGCTCACTATATGGAGAGAGAGAGATTCCTCAGATTTGAATGGAAAGATCAACATTAATGAAATGGTTGTCTGAATTGTTTCTTTCAATCCAATTAGACATGGAATTCCTTTGTTGTTGTTTGATCATTCCTAGAATTGTTGCTTGATTCAATGACTATAATGCTCATTGATATGTAAATAGCTCATATTTTCATCTGTTGAAAAGTGAAGATTTGTCATGGTTACATTACACTTCAGTTCTGCATTATCAGTAGTTGATGAGTGTTCATTCAAAGGTTGTTGAAACCAGCTAATGGGCACATGAGTTCAGGGAGATACAAACTTATGAAATTTGTTGTAAATTTCTTAATTGCTACCCTTTTTTTTTTTTAAACTGATTTATGCAATTATGAAACACTTGAATTTCATCTTAGTAGTTCTTACTATAACATCTAATGTAGGACAATTTTTCAGAAAAAATTTAAAGCTATGATTAGTTTTGTTTATTGCCACCTCAAAACAAGAGAATTGAAATTCTAGAAAGGAGTCCCACTATATCCTATTTTATCATTTTTTAATTATGATTTTTAATTTGTTTTTCTGCCATAGGCCAAGGTAAAACATTTGTTGTCCCCACCTACTATCGAAAATTTCCCAATTATAACATCTATTTATATATTTCTTAAGATTTTAAATTATGAAAATTCTTTGTTTAAAACTAAATTATTCCAATTTGAAATTTAGAAATGGGAGTCCTAATTTCCTTACACTTCAGAGAAATAGAGATTGAGAGAGAATCTGGGAATTTGTTGGATATAGATTTTAAGATAAATATATTAAATGGACTTAGAGATAGAATTGAAAAAATATCAGGAGAGAGCTGACCTAAGAATCCTCTATTTATTCTTTCTAAAACACACTGTAGTGAAAATTGGACGGGAAAACGAATTAGCGATGGAAATTCAAAATTCACACTCCTATTTATTGTCCTATAGTATAAGGAAAAATTATGTCTATACCATATTTAAGTATGGTAATTATAGGAAGGCTCAAATTTTCACAAATTTTATATAGAGCTCATTTATTACTTCAATTTTGCCCTTCATCCGATGTTGGAAATGTTGGACCGCACTTTTACTTTTTAAAATTTTTTGATGTAGGGTTCCCGTCGGAGGTTTGGATCCTCGGACCACCATATATTTTTTACTTTTTTGAAACTACACTGTCAGATGTGGGAGAAATCAAACTTAAACATTTCAAAAGAAAGCAAAATATGGTAGTCCAATATCTCCAATATCGGACTGAACCAATGATCCCATAAAGCTATTCAAACCCTATAATGATCCCATAAAGCTATTCAAACCCTATAAGTCCTCTGTGGTCCTCCCAATCAAAAAAGTCCTAGTTCACCACAAAAAGCTTTAAAATTTGGCAAAAATTTATGAAGTCCAGGAGCTTAGGTAGACTTGCCATGTTGGAAAAATAAGATAGTTCTTATGAGATCAAGGAAACAGTAAAAAGTTGAAAAAACTTGTGGTCAAGCGGACCACAGGTATTTGTTGGTAGTTAGGTGAGTCCGGTATTAGAGATATCAGACTACCCTAACTTGCTTTCTTTTAAAAATGTGGGTAAGTTGTCTCTAATATCGGACAATGTATTTTAAAAAGGGTATCAAGTATAGAGCGGTTCGAGGATTCAAACTTCAAACATATCTCTCTACTAAAAAATAAATAAATAAAAAATCTATCTGATGTTTCCAACATCGGGCAGATGGACAAAATGAAAAAAGAAAAAAAAAAAAAGAGCGTGGGCGTTTGTAAAAAAAAAGGTCCCGCCTGATGTTGTAAATATCTCACCGATGTACCTCCACTTAAATTTTCCATATAGTTATCATATTTAAATATGGTAGGGATACAATTTTTCCTTCTGTTTTCTCTCGAATTGCAAATCCATCTCTCTCTCTAGACGTAATTACGGACTGGTTCACATGTATGAAAAAATTTACATGGAGTTCTCATTATTTTTTAAATTTTTCCCCTCTATTTCTTATTTTATTTTTAAAATTTTTGGAATATAGAGACCGATCTGAGATCTGGATCATTGGATTGCCCTATAATTTATACTCTTTTTGAAGTAGATATTTCAATGTTCAAGACATTAAACCGAAATTTGTAAAAAGATAGCAAACCAGGGTTGTTCGATATTTCTAGAATCAGACCCACCTAACAACCAACTTAATATCCATTTATGTTCTAGGTAGTCTGTTGGGTCACAAATTTAACCATTTCCTTGATCCCGTGAGCACTCTCTCTTTTTATTTATTTATTTATTTAAATGGTGAGTCTATCTAAGCTCTTAGAATTTACCAAATATCTCCAAAATTTAAAGGTTTTTGTACTAAATTGGGGTCTTTTGTAGTCGAGCGGACCACTAAAGACTTGAAAAGCTTTATGGGAGGGTGGGTCCAATATTAGAGTTATTGAACTTCTTATTTTTATTGTATGTTAAGAAAAACTTGTATCTGATGTTTCAAATATTGGACTATGTACTTTAAAGAAAATGTATATCGTATTTTTGTTTTAAAAACTGTCTTATGTTATTTCAGAATAATATACCTCTTGTTCCATAGTGTTTTGGAAAATGTAAAGCGTTGAAAATTGTGTTTGTCTTATATGTAGAGAGATAATGACGAGTTATTTCTCCCACATTGAAGATGTGGAAGACGCAAACCTGTTTAAATATGTGGACATCCTCTTATCCATTGTTCTAAGAACTAAATGGAAAAAAGGCTTATGCAAAGCACACGTAGTATGTGAACACAATTGCTCATGCATACATATATGTGCAAGGCCGAAGGTGCTTAATAGCGCACTTTAAACTAGCCTATTTTTTTTGTCTTTTTAAAAAACTTTTATCTGATCTCTCCAACATCAAACCATGTACTTTAAAAACATTATAAAGGATCGGGCAGGATAATATTTCCAACATCGTTCTGGTCCCTACACTTCGATTAACTTTAAAATAATAATAACAAATAAGCTGTTTCATGTTTCCAAAATCAGATTGAGGAGCAAAATAAGAAAAAATAAAAGGGCATGGGCTCACGTTTTCCTAAATTTTTAAATTTGATCGAAGTGTAGGGATCGGATCGATGTTGGAAATATAGTACTGCCCGATCCTTCATAATGTTTTTAAAGTACATGGTTTGACGTTGGCGAGATCAGACAAAAGTTTTTTAAAAAGGCAAAAAAAATAGGCTCAAAGGGCACTATCAAGCGCCTTCGTCCTTGCACATACATGTATGTATGAGCAATTGTGTTCGCATGCTATACATGCTTTGCATAAGGCTTCTTTCCCTTTGGTTCTTAGAATACCAGCTAAGAGGATGTCCACATATTTAAATAGGTTTGTTTTTTTCACATCTTCAATATTTTTTTTTTTTTACCCAAGTTACCCCTAATATAAACAGTGGACATGGGGGCTTATATCTTTCAAAGTAAAAAATATTATCCGGTGTTTCAATTACTGGACAATACTGTGGTTTTGAACGCCAACTGCTCGCTGGAATTTGGCCAGAAAATGGCCAAGGACTCTCTGGGAAACAAAAAGATGCCCAAAGCTAATGGCTACTTCAGGCTGGAGTCAGTTGACTTGACCGACGAGTTCCCCGAAGAGCGAGTTGTTCTCTGGAGTGGAGCTTGGGGTGAGGAACACCTTGTCTTTATGGAGAAAAGCCGTGATAAATTTCAAGTGGGGTATGAGGCTTCTATCGAATTTGAGCGAAAATTCATTTATTGCTCTGAGCAACGACCCTCCATATGAACAAAATAGGAATCGAGCATGTAGAGAGGGAAGAAAAGACGAAGGTAGACGATGATTTCCCGACCAAAAATTTGTAGGAGTTAGCACCAGAAAACTAAATTTGTTGATTGGTTAAGCAGGAGATTGAGGCTCTTAAGTTGGAGAATAGGTCGTTGGGATATAGAAGAAAGCGATACAGGACATTACAGCCGAGGTGATTGCCGGGAAACATGGCAGTTTTGGCCGGATAATGGTTTCTGGTGAGGGTTCAAAGATGAGAGGAAGAGAGAGAGCTGTCCGGTGCTTTGAACATCGTACAACACTTTTTACTTTGAAAGATAGAAGCCCCCTACCCGGTGTTCGTGTTACCAGAAGGGGAGGTAACTTGGCGAAAACAAATGTTGCAGGGGAACGCGTGCTCGTAATTTCGAACAACAGAGTCCATTTGGTAATTGACCCCCCTTCAAATAGTGTTCTTACGTAATTTTCTCTATTTTAGAAAGCACC